GACCCTGACCCAGCACCTTGGTGATCCACCAGACCTTCCCCCCTCCAAACCCGGCAGCACACAGCTAGGCTCTGCCTGTCCCCAGCAGCCCCGGCCCCAGTGCTGGGTCCTTGATGTTCCCCATGGCCCCCGGCCAGCTGGGGACCTTTGCCATGGTGGGAGAAGGGGTTTGCTGAGCACGATGATGGCCCAGGCAGATCCTTCTCCAGTGCTGGAAAGCCCCCTGCGATGCCCAGACCCTCTCCTTGCTCAGGGTGTTTGGAGTGGGGGTGCTCAGGACAGTTTTTTTTGGATGCCCCAGGTCCCATGGGTGCGGGAACAACTCTTGGCCCACTTGGATGGAAAATCCAAAACCCAGGTCCCTTTTTCCCTCTTGGGTCACGTTGGGTGATATTTGGGACAAGGTGGGACACAGGGGAGAGCGGGCCAGGCAGGGAGGGGTTGGGGGTCTGCAGTGCCCCTGGGCTGAGCCTGCTTCCTGCCCCCACTCTGCTTCCCACTTGGCCAGTATGGCTGGAGCAGCACAGGCGGCGGAACTGCAGAATTTGTGGCAAGGAGGGGGAAAATTGTGTCAAAATGTCATCATTTCACATGTGGAAACTGCTTGTCTTGGGGTGGCATTTTAGGCAGATGTGAGAGTTTTCCAGCCCTGACATCCCCACCCTTCACAGAGGTGCTGAGCTCCAGGGCCTTGCAGTGCCTGGGCCAGGTTAGTGGCAGAGTGCACCTGGGGCAGGCAGGCCCCGAACTGGGGAGCTGCAGACAAACCTTGAGAAAGACAGGATCCAGGGGCTGTGCCCAAGGGCTGTGTGCCAGCATGGCCCTGCCAGTGATGCTGCTGGAGGTGGCTGCACCCAGGGAGTTTCTGTGCCCCACCTGCAGTCCTCAAGGTCTGAGCATCACTGGGGCTGCAGATCCACAGCTGCTTGGCCAGTTAGGTGAGCCTCTGGAGCCTTCCTCCCACAGGCTCCAGGGGAGAACCCTCATCCTCCTCTCCAGCTGAGGAGGACATGGTTCTGGACTATGTGGCAGGCAGAGGCCTGAATTAACTCCTTGTTACCCTGGCCTCTCACAGCTCTCCTCCTAAAGGCACACATCTATAATGCAACTCCCCGAGGGGGAATTTCTCCCAGCCTTTTGCTCTAGGCCAGGACCAGTCTCGGGTACTCTCTGCTCCCTGACTCCAAATAAGGGAGAACCTGCCCAGCTGGATCATTTTGGGGTTGCCGTTGTGGCCATTTCTAGCTGGCAAAAGGATGCACATTAGCCCCTCCGGGATGAATCCCACTGTCCTAAGAGGAGGTAGGAACAAAGTGTGTTGGTAGGAACAAGGAGGTAGGAACAAGTACCCCAGGGGGTCCCAGCTCTCAGCATCATCCTCTGCTTTTGATAAAGGGGTTGTAGCCCCCAGCAGGAGGGGGACACACCTGGGCATTGACCTGGCAGAGTTATGAGGCAGTGTGCAGCAGCACCAGAAGCATGCTCAAAGCTCTTTTTGTGTCCAGACGTCTCTGGCTAGTTCCTCTCCATCACAGCCACATGCCTGGCAATGTGGTGAGCAAACGTCTCTCCTGTTGTTCCATGAAGTGATCATTATACACTGGCAGAAGGAGAGAAACTGGCAGGCTAAGATGTGTTCACAAAAATTTCCCCTCTGAGATCAGTTTAAATAAATCTCCATCATCGCTGGGAGCGCTGCGTGGGAGAGCTCATGTCCGCTCCGCATCACGGCTGGTGTGGAGGTGGGCTTTGCTGCTCCTCTCCTGCCAAATCATCTCTGCCCTTGGCAAGATGCCGCAACCCCAGCTGTGCTCCTGGGCACCTCCTTGCTCACGCCAGGCCGGCCTGCAGCTCAGGGGCAGTGTTATGTGCCCCAAGCCCCACAAGCCCCAAATCTGTTCCAGGCAGGGTACCAGCGTTTGCTCAGCAACTCAAACCAGGGCTAGCAATTGAACCCAGGAGGGACCCTCCCCTTTTCCTCTCCAGCACCAGCACAGCGCCTGGCTGCCATCACTCGCTGCACCCTGTCCCCACTGCAGCCCTGGAGCTGAGAGGCACCCAGCCCCGAACACCATGCCAAGGGAGATGGTGGGCAGGGTCTTTGCTGGCAGGGGAAGAGGCAAAATGTGGACATGCAGCACTCAGGCTGTGGCAGGCAAGGGGGGAAGCCACCATGATCACAGTGAAAGGAGGAAGGGGTCCCAGGGTCAGCACACTGGCTCAGAACTGGAGCGGATGTGGCGTGGGCATAGCTACTTCCCCTGGCAGCTGGCAATCCCTACGGGGTGCCAAAATGTGCCTGCAGACCCCTAGTGTTGACAGGCAGCTAACCTACCTCCTCTGCCCCACAGGCTGGTCTCAGGGCAGGAGGAGATTAAACCTGCTTCCCGAAGTGCACCCCAGCCCATGTCACCCTCTGATTTCCTGGACAAGCTTATGGGACGAACATCAGGGTATGATGCCCGGATTCGACCCAACTTCAAAGGTAAGGGGAGGACATGAGGCTCCCAAACCTGGCGGTGACCCATGCTTATGGCTGCCCAAACCCAGGGAATCAGCAGGTATGGGTTCAGGGGTAGGACTGTGACTCAAGTTCCTCTGTCCCAAAACCCTCCCCAGCGTCGCAGCTGCTCCTGCGATCACAGCCGCCCGGCGTGTGGCTGCTTTGCCTGACAGCACAGGCAGCTGCCGTGCTTGCAGGGTGCTGGGGCTCAGCTCAGCACACTACAGGGGTGACCCCAGCAGGCGAGGGGATGCTTGTGTGCATTCATCTGCACAGCGCATGCAGGAGGCGGTGTCCCCACGTGTGCCTCTGTGGTGCACATGTCTCCCTGGCCAGCGGCAAGAGGAGGCTTCACACTGTTTTCCAGGTCCACCCGTCAACGTGACGTGCAATATCTTCATCAACAGCTTTGGCTCTGTCACCGAGACCACCATGGTGAGCATTTCGTCAGCGCGATGGGCTCCTCTCCCAGTGCCTTGGGGTTGGTGTTGGCTCTGCCAAGGAGCGTGCGGGTCCCAGTGCCCAAGCCCATGGCCATGCTTACAGGGGTCCTGGGAACCAGCCCTGGCACTGCAGTGGGGATATGCAAGGCCATAGCAAATGGCTGTGGCTTTTCTGGGGTCAGTTAACCAGAACTTGGCTGTGTGGGCCACATTCCCCATGCCTGAGCTGGGAGAAACAACCCGAATGGTCAGAGCAAGGCAGCCAGTGGTAGGCCCCGCAAGGCAGCCAGTGGTAGCTCCCTGCTGTTCGCAGGCTTGGCAGGTGCCGTACAACGCAAGCGAGCTCTGTGTTGCCGCCATCTCCAGCCTCCTTGGGTGCATGAGGAACTCCTCTGAGGAAGCCCCATGGCCAAAAATTCCCTATTTGTGCTGCTGCAAAGTCTTAATACCATCAACCATCACATCAACCGTGTGGTGCTCCTCGCTGATGTGGTGCCCTCTGCCCCAGGACTACCGGGTGAATGTCTTCCTGCGGCAGCAGTGGAATGATCCCCGCCTGGCTTACCGTGAGTACCCTGACGACTCCCTTGATCTCGATCCCTCCATGCTCGACTCCATCTGGAAGCCAGACTTGTTCTTCGCCAATGAGAAAGGGGCCAATTTTCACGAGGTCACCACAGACAACAAGCTGCTGCGCATCTTCAAGAATGGCAATGTGCTCTACAGCATTAGGTAGAACCCTTGTCCTCTGGTGCAGTGCCCCAGTGGGGAGGTGAAGCTTTCCTTTTGCCTCCTGTGAGATGACTTCCCATTGCCCCCAACCGCCCCAGCCCCCAGCAACCCCCTTGTTTATTCTGCCTCCTCCAGGCTGACACTGATCCTGTCCTGCCCCATGGACCTCAAGAATTTCCCCATGGACATCCAGACATGCACCATGCAGCTGGAGAGCTGTGAGTACCTAGAGGGGTTCAAGCTGTACTTCATCCCCACCACCCCACCCCATCCAATCCCATCCCAAAGTCTAGCATCTCCCTGCTTCTGAGGGAGGTGAGCAGGAAGGGTGAGCAGGTTGTTCAGGGAGGGGATGAATGGGGTGTGTGTGTCCCCTGTCCCATGGCTCCCTCTGTCCCCTCCAGTTGGCTACACCATGAACGACCTCATCTTTGAGTGGCTGGAGGAGCAGGAGGCTGTACAGGTGGCAGAGGGCTTGACACTCCCACAGTTCATCCTCAGGGATGAAAAGGACCTGGGCTATTGCACCAAGTACTACAACACAGGTGAGCACCCCAGGCACCCACTTCCACGCTGTGGCCATGGCCCGGGGGACCCTCTCACCCATCAGGGCCATCTTTCCCCACAGGCAAGTTCACCTGCATCGAGGTGAAGTTCCACCTGGAGAGGCAGATGGGTTACTACCTGATCCAGATGTACATCCCAAGCCTGCTCATTGTCATCCTCTCCTGGGTCTCCTTCTGGATCAATATGGATGCGGCACCAGCCCGAGTGGGCTTGGGCATCACCACTGTGCTCACCATGACCACACAGAGTGCTGGCTCCCGTGCCTCCCTGCCCAAGGTCAGTGCTGGCTCCATGCTGGGCTCCTGCGCTGCAGCTTGCCTGGGGCACCCAGGGTGCCCCGGGACAGGGACAGCCTTCCCTTGGGAATGGCTGGCTCCATAGCCTTGCCAGGGAACATGGTGCTGCTTGGACAGGCGAGTTTTGGCCCATGTGTCCCAGCTGAGAGGGCTTCTGTGCCCCTGGGCAGTGGGGCAAAGCTGGCAGCAGGGGGGACAAGTGAGGTGGGGAGCAGTAGGTCCCTAAGCCCCCTCTCACCCTCACAGGTCTCCTATGTGAAGGCCATTGACATCTGGATGGCTGTGTGCCTGCTCTTTGTCTTTGCCGCCTTGTTGGAGTATGCAGCCGTCAACTTTGTCTCCCGCCAGCACAAGGAGTTCATGCGCCTGCGCCGGCGCCAGCGGCGGCAGAGGATGGTGAGTCCCTCCCGCCACCTCTGTCATGACATCTGCCCACCCCAGCTGTCAAGGGGACACCACAGGGCTGCAGGGCCAATTTCTCAGCAGCCACTGGGGCAGGCTCAGTGCTGGGCTGTGTCCCGCCGCCCGGAGCTTGCAGCCAGCCCCTCTGGCACATCAGGGATCCATGGGCATCACAGTCCTTCTGCCTGCCTGGCAGCACCCATGGGTGCCCCAGGCCCTGCCAGTTGTGCTGGCCCAAGGTGACATCCTCCTCCTGCTTGGACATTCTCAGCCTCTGCTTCCTCTAAAAAAAGCAGAAAAATAAACAGCAAGGGTCGGGGAAACAGCCTTTCCCCTTGCCTGCAGCCCCAAACTTGGGCTCCTTGCTGTGCTGCGGCGGTCACAGGGGCTTGCTGCTGTGTCAGGGCGCTGAAGCACCAAGGGGACCTGGTGGCACCCAGCGACAAGCTCTGGGCTGCAGACGGGAGCACAGCTGTAGAGGCAGGGTCCCACGCTCGCCAGGCAGCTCTCCCATCTGTCAGCCTATCAGGCCTGCAAGATGCTCAGGGAAGGCACATGGCTGCCCCACTTTTATTTTCTTGCTGTAAGTGCACTTCGAGGCACCACACCTCCGTGGAAAACATGAGCAGACATACCCACCACACAGGCTCACTGCTGGGGGGTCTTTTCCCCTGCCATGGAGAGCCCCCATCCAACCACTGTCCCCATCCCAGTGCTCAGAGCCACTGTCCCCCGGGCTGGGGCAGAGCCATCGGTCACCCCACTGCCCTGTTTCTGTTTGGTGTGCACTGTCAGATGCCAAAAGGGCCTGAGCAGTGGGATGGCCAGTCCCTGCAGCAGCTGAGTTGCTGGCACTGCGGCAAGCACACCTACATGATGTTCTCACAGCTCTCCAGCTCTCGGGTAAAGCACAACCCTCTGGCAGTCTCCCATGCAGTGCAGCGGAGCACACCCCGAGCCATCCTCACCCCTCCTCCCCAAAACAAGCCCCCCAGGACCCAGCCCTGAGGGCCAGCAAGGGCCTGTGGAAGAAGCAGGGCAGTGATGTGCACAGAGCATGTGCCCATAGGATGGAGCTGCCACTTCTTGGTCTGAAAAGAGATTTGAGAGAAGGATGAGAATGGAGCAGATTTCCCTGGAGACACCCACACTCTGTGCCTCAGTTTCTCCTTCCATAAAGCAGGAGCAGTGCCAAGGCATGAGTGATGCTGGGGCAGACTGATGGCAACTCCTGGGCTGCTGCCCAGCTCCCCAGGCTGCGCCCACACCTCTGGCAGGGTGAGGGCTCTGTCTGCCCAGTTTTCCTGGCGCAGGCAGGTTTGAGGCATCTGCAGCTGTCTGCAGGAACTCCAGCACAAGGGCACTGTGCAGCTTGAGGCACAGAGAGGAGCAGTGGGGCAGGGCAGGCCCGCAGGCTGGTGGGGAGATGCTGAGGGATGACTGCAGCTCCAGGGACGAGATTGGACCTGATGCATCCTCGCCTCCCCATCCAGACAGGCTGCCCTGAGCCTCCTCTCCACCATCCTAGGCAAGGATGAGGCAAGTTGCTAACAATGCGCAGCTGTCGGTGTGGAAGAGCACTGGCCAGCACCTGAGGGGCCACGAGGGGAGCAGGGCTGTGCCATGAAAGATGGCTGTGGGCTGTGACATGAGGGTGAGGGCAGGCATCCGGCTCTCACAGTACTTTTACAGGCTTGATCATGTGCATGCAGCCCCACAGGCATGCTGCACTCCCTGCAGGCCCCCACCAGCATGGGGGGAGATGGGGTGAGCAAGGACAGAAAGACCAGCAAGGAGGCCAGTCCTCCTCTGCTGCACCAGCCAGATCCCACCAAGCAGCAGTGGGGAGAAATGGGGGCCTGGGCCCTTGGAGGGACTGGGAGGCCATGCAAGCCCTGATGGTAGCCAGGTTCCTGCATCCCTGCCCAGCTCTGCCCCAGCAAGCTGCCCCCTCCTATTCACTGGCACAGACACCCTTCCACCCTGCAGCAAAAACAGCTTCCACAGCAGTGCGTGCACCCCCAAGCTCCCTGCACCCCAGTGCACCCTGCACCCCTGTGCCCTGCACCCCCATGCAACCTGCACCCCCTGCACTC